AGTTACCGGTACAACTCCTGCGAATTGTGTATATGCCATATGGTATACTTAACTTGTCGTTTCAATCTCGCTCACTACCACGATCAAGCCCTGAAAATTGGTGAGTCGAAGTGCATACTCTGTAAAACCAATTCAAAATATATATCCATCAACTGATTCAAAAGTATTTATCACAGAAGTCACATCAAGAAACAATGTTTGCTCCACGTCTCCATCTTTTGCTTTTGATAAGCAGCTAAATTTTTTGATTCTACTTGCACCGCCGGCCAGTTGCAATCAGATCTTATTCAATAACAGTTGAGAAATTATTTCACAAGTAGATTATGACAATTTTAGAATTCAAACAAGAGTTTATTACTTTAATAAACAATGTGAACGAAAGTAGCTAATAATAGAGACTCATCACAATCCCTCATTCCAACCCAACCTATGATTTAGATTCCATTTTAATGTTACGCGAGTAACATATTGTGCATCGTTTTTTCTTTGCTTTGATTGGGTTGTTTAACAAATTGTCCCATAAGACCCATACAAATTTAATCACAAAATATGTATTTGAGAATCCTGATCTGAATCCAATCCTGATCTCTTAAAACCTCATTTTCTTTTCTAATGAGTTTGAAACCCTCGGTTGTATTGTTGATACCCTCGGCTGTTTAGTTTTATAAAACATACAATAAGCAATATTTTTTTAGTTTTTTAAGATCGTGGTTTATATCTATTCATAATATCACTAAATCTAAGCAATGAATATTAAATAAAGCAAATAATCTTTTAATCTTTTTTTTAAATAAGCTTTTCTATAAACTAATCGCAACTTTAATGAACCCCTTTAATATTCGCTGTGTACACTTTATCAGCCGCAATATGTTTTTTTATCTAAATGCAAATAATGTAATTTTTTGCAAGTTATCAACGTTAGACATGTGATAGATTCCTCGTTCTCCCTCAAAATTTTAACAAACTAATTTTCTTTTAGAACAAAATCGGGATCAGCTGGTTATTTCACTATAAATACCACATCATCATTCCTCATCTCCATCGTCTCTTTATGTAGAACGTTTTAAACACGTTTCGTACTTCAGCTCATCTTAACAAAAATTAGTATCTTTCCCATTTCTTAACAAACTCTTGTTTGTTCATCTATCTATTTATTTTAATGGTCTCGAGCTATAAATTAGTTAGCTCCAAATAGACTTCAATTATGTTAAGGTAGCTACATTCGTTGAATATATTTTGATTTCCCAACCATCATGGCATCTATTTACAGATTAATAACGTTCCCCTGGAATCGACTGATTTAGATGGGTATCATAGCGAGATCGTAAAAAGATTCTATTATCTTTAATATAGTATCTTTAAAACTGTACCAATGTATAAATTCCTCAAAAATTGAGTTAATTGATAAATCCATGTTAACTTCACTTGTCGAAAAGTCCTTTTCCATTAGTTCTAATATTAATAAAACCATTCGTTGATTTTTTTCAGATAAAATTTTATATACATATAAAATGAATCTAATACACCTGTATGTATATATGTGTTACACCGTGTATATGTTAGAGCCTTTTAATTAAATAATACTTTTACCTAGTTATGAACATATAGTTAGAAGTACATAAGACTTAATTTCTAAATATATAACGTACTTATTTATGTACTGTCACTGGTTCAAGTAGACTCTATAAAAGGCTTTGTACAGATATACATGTCCACCTGATGTTAAACCAAATTTATAACGATTTTACAGTTACTCGAAAAGATATATATCCTTCTTGTTAACAATACCTCTGTATTAGCACAACACGCAACACATCTTTGAACTGGAAAGATGTCTTAAACAGGACCACGCCCACCATCGTACGTTGCATAACACGACAGATAACGAGCGTTAAGCTCAGGAAACGATTTCCCCGCGTAGCCTTCGAAGGCCGTACATGGCCGTAAGCGCGGAATATAAATCCTAATCAATATATCGTCGGTAACACGATACTTTATACGGAATACAACCATCGAACGGATTAATCGAGACAATTTAACGCCGGGAACGACGACGATCCTACGGCGCTCCAGCTCGTGGAAAACGACGAACGGGCGTTGTTCAAGTTAAGTTACTCGGGTCACGAGGCTCGTAAACTCGATTGTCGACCATAAGGCGTTTGCTTTTCAATTGTTGGCGAACGCTCGCGAGTCTATCATCCAGAAGGCCCCCCGTTGGGGACGCCACTGTGCAAACTATAAATTCCAAAATTATGTTTTGATGCTGTTTAAGAGCTTTTTTTAAGAGATTTTTTTCTGATGTTGACCGTGTAATTCTAAACCATCAACCTAAATAATTGGGGGTAAAAAAATCTTGAACGTCCCGTTTGACAAATAAACAAGACTCCCAGAGACGAGTCTATTTCCAAAGAGCACCTCGGCGCCTGTAAGTCAACCACGTCAATCAAGTAAACGTTTTCGTTGACAACTGACAACTGAGTGAAACGCCCCTTTTCCTATGACGTCATCTAATAGACGTTTCACATTATCCTACATTGTATATTTAGCTTCTTTATCCTCATTAGTAACCACACACAAATTTATGTACTCTATGTGTTACTCCCATTGTCGGAAAACCGGAGTCTTTGTGCAAGTATAAATATGTGAGGCTCAATTAATTTCCATTTCCTCATCTCAAGGCTAATTTATCGTTGACCACAATGAGCGTTAGCGAATAAATATCGCCGTTTTCTAATCCTGGATCTTGGATTTATGGAGGCAGCTGGCTCTTTCGTGTTCAGGTGCAACAGTGGCGTGGTGAGCCAGAGTGAGAGAAGAGGTTATTCTCCCCGAGGGGGGATTTTCCTGGAAATCGTTACGTATTGAATTCTGTCGCGACGATTTAATACTTTCCTGGATTGGTGCCAGAATATGGGGAACTAAGCTGAATCGACTGAACGCCTGCATATGTCACAGAATCGCCTACATTGGTCAATTGGAATCTAACTAAGAACCTAATCTTATAACATTTATCTGTAGTCATTGAATAGTAAGTCTTTTAATCTTCTATCTTCTAAAATAGATTCTCTCCGTTTGCTAGATTTGTCTTTGCTCTTCGAATTCAATGATTTATAATTGGGCGTTTTGAACAATGTTCCTTAAGGAGCTTCTAAGAAATTGACCTACATTGTTTTGTTCTAAATTCTCCGTTCTATTTCAACAGAGTGAATCAAAGACATGATGTATACTAAAGAATACAAAACCATCAAATGCTTTTATGTTGGGTTACAAACGATGCAATCTACTCGTCAAAGTAAGACATACCAAAGGAAGCCCGCGGTAAAAAAATCAAACCTCAGTAACTATTTCGCGTGTACAAACAGCGACAAAGCGCTGTGGTAGAATAGCAAATGGCGCCATCCTTTGCCGCAAAGGACGTCGTCGCATTAAATCCGTCCAAAGGCTTTCTTCTCGTCGGCTTCGCACGAAGGAACAAGAACCATCGTGGCCTCGTAAAGGGCACAATACGCAGGGCGTCGCAACGCAAGGCGTCGTCTACGGCCGCATTTCTAATTTTTACATTGACTTTTTAAGAAGGTAATATATCAACACGGGAGTACGCGAGGAGGGCCTTTTGAGCACCGCGCAGCTCTTTGTGTTATTGCATCCGCGGTAAGCAGATCTCGGTGCAGGGCCCTTTTCAAAAAACCCTTTGAACTGTCATAAAAGTAAAGCACTTATGTGAGGCCTATCCCCTTTCATTGCACCGCGAGGCCGCGTTGCCACTACACTGGAAGGGATCGTAGAAACCGACGCTGCTGTTATATTGCGCGAGGGACGCGTTGAAAATTTTCAAGCGAAATTGCCGTCTTTTTAGACGAAAAACGGTCTCACGCCGTAACGAAGTTACGCACTCGGCCGAGCGGGTTTCCGACCTGTTTTCACTCAAAGCGAGACCGTATGAAAAAGACGCGAAATAAAAATCGGGGTGTGAAAAGGTTACCCCAGCTTTGCCGGGCTCGTTCCGAGAGAGAAAATCCGAATGGAAATCCTTTTAGTCGCGTTTACTTTATTTGACGCCGTAATTACATAAAAAAAGGTTGCTGAGGGAAATTACTAATTAGGTAACGTAAACAAGGTATAAAAAACTTTTGCATAAACACGTTTTACATTAAATATAAAACATAAGCTCTATACATATACATATTTTTTTCCTGAAATTTAATTTGTTTTATAAATATTAAAAAAAAATAAATTAAATTATTTCGTATTTATTATTTATTTTGAATTATATAAACGATAACACCCAGCTTTATTAACACACACATTCCTATTTAAATGGAATTCATTCACGCATGCATATAGTTCTCGTGTAAACAGACAGGTGTAATAAAATACAAACCAAACATTATTAGCGAATTATGTTTGATAAATTACTCAGCAGTGTTGCACGCAATCGGTGCGAGCCTGATCTAATCTTATCTTTATTTTCGCCACCGAAAACACGTAATATAATAATAAGAAACGAGTATGCAGTGTTTACACGTTGAATTTTACAACAGTAACCTCCGAATTACACCTGAATTGGGATTCATTTCGAATACAAACCACAAAGATGCTGAATTTCGTGGGAATAGATATTTTCCTGTTGAAAATATAACGGGAATATTTTACGGGATGCCTAGGGAATGCCGTCTTGGCAGAGTATAAATTTTGCGGCACCGAGAGCTATTGCTCGCTTGCAAAGACTTCCTGGGCAGGCTTTTCGAGGATGTAAACAAATTTATGGCCGAATGTAACTCGGCCTGAATTTTGGGCGAAGAAGACTCCTTGGGTTGCTTTCATTTTAGGAAATGCGAATTTATTGCCTGGTGTTCAGAATAAACCCTCGTATAACCTTTTCACCACCAACCGTCTTAAATATAAAATATAATCTAATAAAAAACCTCAAATATAACACACAAAAAATATAAAAATACTTTCAAACAATCGATTCTATCAGATATAACACCCATACGTACGTTTATCTCGTTAACCTCTGTCTAGTAGCGTCGATAAGATAACGGGGATAATCCAAGTTAGTTCAGATACCCAGTCCAAATAGAAACAGTCTCACCCAATCCAATATACCATTCCCGACAGAAGCAGCAGTTTCAGTTCCGATTTAACTTTTCACGTAAATACCCCTCCACACAACGACAGTCACTGACACACAGTTTAGTTACAAAACACAACACACCAACACGAAATCTACGGAGAGTTAAATTGGCTTCTTAAGATTAACCAAAATGTCACTGTTAAGCTAGATAATTTAAAGTCTAATTATTATTTTGACGACTTTGAACGAAGTTAGTGCTAGTTTTCACTAGAACTCACGTTCGGACGGCCGCAAATATCGTCAGTATCTACATGATAACGAGAGTTCTCGAACTGATAGGAGTCGCGGCGAGTTCGAATACTACCAGGCCAATAATTGTACTCTAACTGGTGCCCTGTGCGGGAAAACCCGTCGCTTTTATCAGAAGATAAGATCCCTCCGCGTTAGGGTTCCTACCCACGACGCCGGCGTCGTCGCAGGGACGTCGGCGTCGTTGCGTCTTTGTCGGCGCCGTTTCGTTTTTTGTTTTCGTAACGAGGGGAGCTTTTACACCCAACGTTTCAGTTTGCGTACAGAAGAGCGAACGACTTTCGAGGGCTGTTGGAAAATGGAAAAAGATGGTAATAAGATGGGGGATGTGAAATATAAAAACAAGGATTTGAAAATAAAATCTTTAGTGTCACATTCTGACTACATATTGAGATGGTTATTTTGATATATTTGCTTAGATAGGGATTGTTGAAATTACTACAAAAGTATCTTTCAAAATTTTCATAGAGAAACATATGGTATAAGATTAAAAAAATAACAACCAAATTCTGTAGATTACATGATACATATTTAACTGAACTAAACCAAGCAAATCATATTCATTGTTATGAGCCATGGACCAAAGAGTTTGCTATGAATTTCTATCTATATTAAGGACTTTACGATTTAACGATAAGACGACTGGGACTGTAAGAATGAAATAGACAAATTTGTAGCCATTCGATTTATTCTTCATCACTTCCTTGGATGTTTTCAAAGTAATTATTGTCTCGCTATACAAATGACTGTAGACAAAATGTTAATGCCGATGGTTGGTAATATGTTGCAGAAAATAGTTGAACTTTATGAAAGCAAGTAATACCAGGTAAAAAATACGACGATGAGTACCTATCTGCTTTCAACTTCTTATTCAAATGTATTAAGCAGAAATGTTGAAGAAAGAGGAGAAAAAAATTATACTAAAATTTCTGCAAGTTAAAGACAAACAGTTAATTATTACACTTTATTTCACAGAGTAGGTACTTGCTGCCCGGTTTTGGTCAAAAGCACAATCAAAAGATTAGTGAATACCTACCAGCAATATTTCAACAAGTAGTCCTGAATCGAATTTTATTCCAACATTATTCTTAACCCGTTTATGCCCGAATTAAGTTTTTTTAGATTTCTGTCAGTGTCATTTTGGTGCAGTTTTTATCCTTTCTAACTTACTTCAAACATTATTTTTAAGAAAATACTATTTTTTCGTGTTTTCTTTAATGTTCCATTAATGAAGTAATGGGCATGAACGGGATCATATACTTTCTCAATAAAATCAATTAAATCAACATAAACATTAACAATAAATGTATTGGTTATTGCCCATTATCTTGTGTGGAAGTGAACAAAACAGGATTCATGCAGATTGACTTTGCATTTTTAACAAGACTATCTCGTGTTTTTTTACAGAAAGCACAGCGATTTTGTTTTTCTGCGTAGACAATCCAGTGGTTGCTTTCTTCAAATCACACTTGCTTTCGCACTGTTAAAGCCAATTCTTTATGGGAACGACCTCCTCCTGCCGGGAGAATACGATATTTTTGCAAATACGTTTGCATATCTATTCTTGGAAAATGCAAATAATCCATTTTTTACCCATGTCATTTTTTGTATGTATAGTTACCATCCGTTGTGCACTGAAATATCAACACAGAACGCAAAATTGCCAACCACCACTTCTTCGATCTAATGGAAACCCTGTACTTATCTATGTTCTCATCCATCCTGTCTACACCGTCCATAAATTTATTGTATTGAGTTACTACATGAGGTTACGCAACTGGCAACCTTTTTTAATTTTTGATAACCTCTCCACTCTACATTTTAGAAGCGTAGAATCATAAGTACCGACCATCAGAACTATTCTATTATGATTCCAGCATATAACGGTTAGTTTATTGGCAACATCTGTACAATAGTCATAGAAGCTTCTGTCTTCCTTTTCTACCACTTTTGAAGGCATTGCGGAACACTTTTCAATTTTATTTTATTTGATAGTTCCCGTACATTCATATCTGTTTACTGTAAATCAGTTACCAGTTTGTTTTGGTAGGACTTTTATCAGTCCAAGTACAGCAGACTCCTCTACACCAAATGCTGATTCCTTTAGAGTTGGTTTTCTTACCTTCTTTGTGGTTATCGCATTTTCTTCTTTATCCGCTGAAGTATCAGCTGCATTTTTTCTCGTCGGTTTTTTTCCTTGGTATGGCTCAAATTGCTTCAAATATCCTAGAGGTTCGCAGAGGCACCACATCTTGTAACTGTATCGTATCGGCTTTCCTTTTAAAAATTGTTTTGCTCCGTGCTTACCAAAGTATGGAACCATACTTTCATCAACACTCAGCTTTTCTTGGAGTTCTAAGTATTTCAAAAATTTTGAATTAAGCATTTGCATCAATTCTATATATATTATAATATAATATGTAATTATATACAATATTATATAATTATATTATATAGTTTCTTGCCTAGACGAAAGGTAGAATCTAAGTTAGTGTACTAAGTAAACTTTAGTCAAGCTACTTCAAACGTGGACTCTAAGGTTGACACAATCTACACTGGCTCTTCCAATTCATTGAGAAAATCTATGATATTCCTGTGCAATAAGTTTTCTCCTTTAATGTTGGAGGTTAATGAGGTGGTGTTGTTCACTGTATAGTGACAAATTTATCGGATATAGTTTCTTGCCTAGACGAAAGGTAGAATCTAAGTTAGTGTACTAAGTAAACTTTAGTCAAGCTACTTCAAACGTGGACTCTCAGGTTGACACAATCTACACTGGCTCTTCCAATTCATTGAGAAAATCTATGATATTCCTGTGCAATAAGTTTTCTCCTTTAATGTTGGAGGTTAATGATGTGGTGTTGTTCACTGTATAGTGACAAATTTATCGGATAGGAGACATAAGTCAAACAACTTTGTATCTGGAAACCTTTAATAATAAAGTTTATTTATTATTGTTAATGTATATAAAGTATATTTCGTCTTATTTTAAATTTTATAATTTTTTAGAGTACGACAACGATAATTAAATTTTTAATAGAAACGGGTCAAATCTGGACTGTATAACACTTTACCAGGATTGTAAAACTACTGCTACTATAACAAACTTTACCTAAACTATAACCAATATCAACAAATTACTCACTTAGAAAGGTTATCCTCTTAACTTTCATTACATCTTTATCGATACTGTTATCAAATAATAAATAATGATAGGGTTTATCATCAGAACTTCATGCTTTTATGATTACGAACTTCATGAACTTCAAGCGTATAAAATCTGTGTATTTGTTTTTGACAAATGCATTAGTAAGGAATTATAGATAAAACTGAATGGACATTTTATGAAGTTGTAGGCATTGAATTGCATCTCGACTTCTGATCGTATGTGTGACTACGATTCGAAAGACAAACTGATGGGAGAAACCAAACACCGTCATCTGTAGAAGGGTGCTCGTATTAATGTTGTCAAGGGAAATTCTATCGGCTGAAATATAGGAGTGGTGAGTAATGGAGAAATTTGGGTCTATTTATGGAACACCTGTACTGCTTTGCTTGTATAATCAAATTACTACACATTCCAATACATGTAATCTTCTAATTGAACTTATTGGCGAGAAAATTTGAATGGTATTTTAACCTTGTGTCTTAACCCACCTGAATTATTTTATCATTAAATTTCTCCTCATGTAAGCACTTAAACAACTCTTTAAACTCTTAGCTATAAAGAAATCGTAATAAACATAATTTCTATTCATGATATGCAAAGCTTCTTGGTATTAAACGTTTTCACGCACCAAATCAAATGAAGCGATAATTATTCACACGACGAATGACTCAAGTAATAAAAGCTACCGTTAGGTAGGAACAACTGGGAAGAAGTTGAAGCACGTATTTTGCGGAATGGTGAGCATCAGGTCGACTAAATGAGAAGTCCATCTAGAGCAAAACGGTGCTGTGCTCAATTACGAGACGTGCTTATGCCCAGAAGATAATAAAATCACTTTGCTCGTCGACGACGAGATCGTCTCGTATGTGTACAATGTTGCATCCAGTTTTATCTTAACGATGTAATTAAGGATGTGCATTCTTAACACGTCGGAAGACCTTGTACCCATTCGGTGCGGACAACTTTATTCACATGGGTCGGCGATTTATAGTGTGGCGAGCTTGTTAGAGGAAACGACACCGTGTACGGGATGGTAGTTGTACGATATCGATGACATTTTTCAATTAACAAGATTTAAATTGGAAAAATTAATAAAAAAAAATAATAAAAATTTATCGCATAAAATTTAACCCATCAATCAAAAATCAATCAATACGAAGAGGCAAAGAGTATAGTCACGAAATCGTTTTGATTCAATATTATTGGATAACGTAAGCGTATTTTGCGTGTTCAAGTACGTGACTAGAATAGGATGCAGAATTTTGGGTGACAAGGGTTGGAGGGTTGAAAATGGATATGTTCGCCGGCATCCCCTACCTTCGATCGGCAATCAAACTTTTTGCCAGTGGCGGTGACGTGTATAGTTAGATGACGAGGAGATAGTAATTGCATCGCAATCATCCCTTTGTATAACTGCAGTCTCCAACACTCATTTTCACGCCTTTTATACCCCTCGGATTTGCTGTCAATAACAGTTTAAGACAAGTAGCTGACGATTTCGTAATTACACCGGGAATAAAAAAATATTGCAGAGTAACAATTTTCTACAAAATTAACTTAAGAAATTTTTGTAAACTAATGATTTTTTAATTAAAGTTTGTTAATAGTTCGAGACTAGATTTAAATTAGTTGACATTTTCTTAAATTAGTTGAAATATTTCGGCAGATAAATGGCGAAAATATGAGGAGGAATTAGATTTAAATAAAAATTTAGGTACCTAACATGGATGAAGATAACGTACAAAAATTATTTTAATATATGATTAACTATAAACAACTATAATTAGGTATATTAGAAGAATACGAAGAGTTATGTTGTTAATTAAGGAAGAAAAGAAAACGTAATAATAGCAATAGAACTGAATACTAGAATATTCCTTATTAAAAAAATGAGAAGCAATTAAATATGGACAATTGCACATATTATTAGAA